GGATAGATCCACACATTCATGACATTCCATAAGACCCCTCAAATTGTTTCAAACAACCGGTAATTTTGAAAAAAGAACAAAATAGTCTGAACTTACCGCTCACAATTAAATGTGTCTGCCGAGTTGCACAGTCTATTTCACTGACATGACTGATGCATAATTCATTGCGCGCGTGTGTGACGTCACTATTGAAGAAAAACAAGTTGCGCTTACTCAATAGCTGTTTCATGTAGTCATATGTGCCCCGCGCCGTCTGACTGTGGGTTTTTGGTGCGGGGCACATATCAGTACATGAAACAGTCATTGATTAAGCGCGACTTGTTTTTCTTCAATAGTGACGTCACACACGCGCGCAATGAATTATGCATCAGTCATGTCAGTGAAATAGACTGTGCAACTCGGCAGACACATTTAATTGTGAGCGGTATCGGTAAGTTCAGACTATTTTGTTCTTTTTTCAAAATTACCGGTTGTTTGAAACAATTTGAGGGGTCTTATGGAATGTCACGAATGTGTGGATCTATCCAGGGTTACTGTCTTCCTCATTTGTATTTTCTTTATCGGTTTTTTTGGGCCTTGTCCTCGCGAGGGCATGCAAGTCATGACGACCGTGTAAGTGCTACCAAAGTATGGCAAATCGGTGGAGCGTTTGTATGGAGGGGTACCCGTAATTCAACGCTCCACTCAGTAGAGCTAATAAATATACTACATTACCATGATTACATGGTGCAGCATGGGCATGATGGGTGTATCATCAATATACATATAGTATATGGGTATATGTGAAAACTCAGGCTATGCCGCTGCTTGTATTATGTAAAACACCATGGTCAATAATGAATAATGAAAAAAAGCCTCATGTGTTTTCAAAAAAGTCCGGACACAAATCTATAACTTTCATTCTCGTGGCCTAAGCGGAGTAAGCCTAAATGTGAAAATCAAAATTTGAAAAAGTTCTAGGGTGTGTTTTTTGTTCATGTTCCAAGTGTGGCCTTTATTTACGGAGGTAGTCCAGTAAATTGGCCACATTTATGGGGCTACGGATCGAGTTGACCCGAGTTGACCGGCACCTGCCAAAAAACATCTGGCGAAGTGCGATACTGTTAACAATTTTCTTACCCGACGTCTTCTTCAGGTTTTCGATACTCATCTCAACAGCCATGTTGACCTCTTTCTTTGATTAAACGATTTATAAAATAATTCGGCAGTGAAACAAATGTGGGGGATTGATGACGGTGGATATTTTTAAGGCTTAATAATATGAATGCAATGTCTACCGCCGCTAGCTCGAAATAAATTATTATGCGCAATGAACGGAAGTGAGAGGTATTGTGGGAATCGAATATTTGCTGTAATTTTGAAGGGCGCCCACTTTTGACGAGGTGAGCAAGTGCTCTTGTCATTTTTAATCATAGATCTTAGGTACCAGTACAGTATACGAGCTTATCATCCTGCACTTCAGGGTCTGTAGAAATGAACGGTCCCAGCTCTAAACCAGTCTTGGAACTTGGAAAGTGGGTCTATTTTGCAATGGAGTAAAACAGGGATCATTTTCAAAATGGCGATGGACTGGGACCATGCTGCTTTTTTAGTTTGTGGTCAACTTGAGAGGAGGGAACAATTAGCAACAGTCAACCGTCAACCGCCCCCCCCCCCCCTCAGGAAAAAAAGGACCAGAAATTGAAAGAGGGTTAATCAAGCTTTAATTTAATATGTGTCTTGAATATCTCAGAGAGTTGTGAGTATTTCCCTCGATTTTTGAAATGGGTGTATACAATTTATCATTCTACAGGGAATGTATTTACTGATCTGCAACCATATAGGCTGATTCCTGCCTGCTGGCCGGCAGCGACACTCCCTATGGGTGCCGACCAGTAAATAAATTCCCTGCAGACACCAATGATAAATTCCCCCACTGAAAAAAAGAAGTAAGGAAAATATACTCACAACTATCCAAAGTGTTCAAGACACAGGTCAACGGCCTATAAGATTATAAAGCTGCTGCCCTATGATTCGGAACGGAAGCGATAACGGAAAGAAATGTGCCACTCATGCATTTTGATGAAAAATGTGTAATAGGATGAATGTTGTGGCCCCCATTTTTTTGAATTCCTAAGTCCCACAGAGTAAGGTCATGCATTTTTTGTAGAAATGTGTGGGTTGCTTGGCAGCGTGTGTGGGCAGTTGGTAGCAGAACTTGCAGCCAACTACAAGAGTCATTGAGGAGGAACTGTTAAATTCAGTGGCCGGTGAATTCACTTGACCACTGAACTGCAACAGAGACAGGTTGTTAGTAGCACTGCAGCTCCTCTGTTTAACTGTCTCTGTTTCCTAATATTGAACCTGGCATACTTATTCATCTAGGTGAGTTTGATATTACTTTTACTCCTAGGTTAAAGTGTATATTCTTTACTCAAAGTTTAGACCGAACCGTCTCATGTTGTTGTTATTATTACTATTATGTTCATTTCATGCCGTCACTGTATGCTCAGTTCAGATTGTTGTAATAAGCTTAATGAATGAATATTAAGTTCTTATACATTCCAACTTTGGCCAATATCCACTTGAGAAGTTCTTACTGCAGTTGACATTTTTTACGGTTTTGTTGTCATTTTTTGAAGCAAGCACAATCTTCTTTTCGATGTTTGATGATTTAATTTTCACATAACTTGATTTGAGAAGTAACCATGTCCTGCTCTAGGTGAGTTTGATAATTCCATCTTATAATAGAAGTAAACATGTTTTCTGAACAAATTCCAAATTGATCGGTTCCCTAAAATTGTTTTGAGCTTTCTTTGATTTTCTTTGATTGATCTGAAAGTTTTCGTAAAGGTTTGCCATTTCTGTACCAAAGACTTGTGGCGACTCTATTCTAGACGGTGGAACTTTATTTCAAAGAAAGACGAGCTTGTAGGACTACATGTACAAAAATCATGATCTATTCTTGTCAACATCCATGACCATGAATTATCTAGTTACCTTTTGGCATTTTCCAAAAGACAATCAGTATCTTATGGTGTTCCATATGTGCCAACGGCCTCGCATGGGTTTTTTTTGGTCGCATGTTTTTTTTTGGTCGCATGGTTTTTTTTTGGTCGCATGTTTTTTTTTTGGTCGCCTTTTTTTTTTTTGGTCGCATTTTTTTTTTTTGGCGGCGCATTTTTTGGGGCGGCGCATTTTTTTTTTGGCGGATTTTTTTTTGGCGGCGCATTTTATTTTTGGCGTCGCCTTTTTTTTGTTGGCGTCGCCTTTTTTTTTTGGCTGCGCATTTTTTGGGGGGCGGCGCATTGTTGTTTTTTTGCGTCGCCTGAAGAAAAATGTAACAAGCAACTGTTTCAGCTCGGCTCAGCTTACTTCAACAAAACTAATGAAAGTAGACAAAATAATACTGAAGCTTTCAAAAAGTATTACTGTAATTGTTGCTTTACAGAAAATAGCCTGCTGAGCTAAATGTTGCAGTATTCTAATGGAAAGTGATTGTACACAGGGGCAGGTACATAAATAGTTTGCATAGTGGCTGGTTTTGAATAGTGCCCCTATTTTGAAAGATGGTACCAGCCTCCCCCCCCCCCCCCCCCCCCCCCCCCCCCACTATTTGATTTTACGGAGGCCAGGTGTGTCGGTGAAAAAACGCCAACATCAGCAGAAAATGTAGGCCCCCCCAAAAAAGTGTCCCTTTTGGTTGATGCCCCCACCCCCCTTTTTATTACGAGAGCCTTAGAATTTTGAATTCCCCCCCCCCGCACCTGAGTTACACATTTTGCAAGTGGTTACAGCTGCTTTCATGATCATTCCAACCTCTAACTCTTCTAAAGCAGGCTCTGTCTGTGGGCACAGGCGTATTAATAATTGTTTTTGGGTGTCAGAGTAGGGGGGGCGGAGTTAGCGTTATTTTTTTCAGGCATTTCTTTGGAAATGGACATATAGCCCCACTTGTGTGGCCTCCGTATTGCTGAGCTGTACGTTTAGGCCAAACGTCTGGTTTTCCAACAGTACTGAGAGTTTAGTCCAAACACTGGCGCACCCTTTTTGGGTTTTTTTGGCATACCACTTTAGGCTATATAGTTGTATTCTATGATTTCTCAGCTTTTGCCCTCCGGGTAGATTAGGTAATCTTTGTGCCAATTTTTCTGGAAATGTGGGCATCTTCCTGGAGTCCATATGCGCCAGTTTGGACTAAACTCCTCAGTAAGTTGGGAAACCAGACGTGTGGCCTAACGTACATCGCAGCAATACCGAGGCCACACAAGTGGGGCTAGAAATGGACAGAGATGTGGAGTTTGTTTACCCCCCCCCCCCAGCCACGCCTTGAACAAAAGAAATAATATTGCAACCTGAGGCTGCTTTCTTTTATTCATATATCATCTCAATGAAGGTCACTCATTGCAAAAAAAATGATGATATGACATGAATCTGGGACTGAGAAATATTTCCAATTTTGTTAGGAAATAATTAAAACAAATTCTTGACTCTCCAAACACTTTGTACATAATAACTGCTGAAGTAGCGTCACTGCAGGTTGCAGCAGTCTTTCCCATTGCGCGAGTCTGCGGTTCTGCGCGATCAGTCGATAGACGCGATATTATCAGTGGATCCATCGCATCACCGGCTGTCGATTGATCATGATGTATCAGTCGAACCCGCTGCCTCAAGCCGCATACAACAATTTTCTTTCTCATCCTACTACTGTGGACTGGACGCGATCGACCGATCGCGCAGATCTACACTGTAAACCATGTGTTTAGGTTTAGAACACCTAAATAAACACTAATTTGTGACAGTTTTTAAACATGTGATGATGTGACGCAGTTTATCCAATGAACATGTTTAATTTGAAAACATATTTGGTGTTTAAAATCAGCACACTGACGGTGTTTAATCTTTAAACGGAACAGTGTTTAAAATATATACATCAAAGGCGTTTAACATTTAAATACTACTGACGTTTAAAAAGTAAACACACAGTCAAAAAAAAACACGTCAATCTGTTGTAATTTTAAACATGTGACACGTTTATTGCCTGTGACAGATTTTAAACATGTGACGCTATTTATTATTATTTTCAAGTATTTATATTCACAGTGTGTGTTTAGTTTTCGAACAGTATTCCAAATTGCAAGTAAAACTTCAGTCACAATATTAACAACATTGAAATAAACGCATTTAGGGCACTTCACAAAGCTGTCTTCATTTTCACCTATAGGATTGTGGTGAAGGGCCTATTGAGTTCTATCGAATCATGAAAATGGACACAATAAAATACAAATGTATTTTCATGGTCACCCCTAGAGAATATTGTAGGGCTACATCACGACAGCAAAAATAATGTGACATTTATGTGAATATGCCACATGCCTATGAGTATGTTTCCAACAATCCTTTTTTTAAGACCCCAACATTAAGGCCAATTACATTTTTCACAAGTATCAAAACAAAGAAACAAAAACATAAACAAACACAAAAGGGTGAATTTGAAGTAAATGAATATATCTGTAAATAGGGCTAAAACCAATTATTTTCCAATTCAATGAGAGTTAGAAGTAAAACTGCAAATGAATTATACTTGTTTTTTAAAACCTATGAAGGTTTGCGTTATAGTTTGAAGTGGTAAAATAAGTATTGATCTTTAGCTGAGATTTCAACAATATATCCAATTAATTTATACACAAATACCTTGTAGTGAACTGCATGAATTTGCTGGAATCTGCCAGGAAAACTTTTCTCTGATTATGATTTTTTGAAAAGAACTCAAAGCACGTGAAAATACTTTGGATAATCCAAATCAAAGGCATAGTTCCCCAAGCTGGAGAAGAAGCGCATCATTGTACGTGTTGTAGTTCGAGACTTTCTTGATGGTGTCTCCACGTGTAATGTAAACTGTAGTTTTGATGCAGATACTCTGTCTGGTTCAGCAGCATTCTGTGGACATAAACAAGATTTCTGAGTGAGCCATACAAAAACTGATCAACTTTGAAAGTGAAACCATGCTCACAGTAAAAAAAATAATGGAGACCCTAAAATGACAAGTCATTAATAAAGTTTACTCCAGGAAGAATATGAAAACTGATTACAAAATTGGGTTCAAAAGTAAATTGCACAATTGTCGGCCTTTTTGGGACTCACGTCAATATTAACCTTTGTTATCAGAGATAATGTGCACAAAGACTGTAAAGTTACAGCTTGAGCTTGATCATGGATCAAATATTAAAAATAAAATCTGAAGAAAATAGGCAAGCTTTTCACAGTTTCGTACCAATAACTTTGCAGTCATGTAGGTATTTACGGAGACTTTCTATTTAAAATTGTATTTCAAATTGTATTCACCTAGAATGTTATACTTTTTCATTTCATGATGTTTTACCGCCAGAGTAAATTTACAGTGGAAGTTGAAAGGTTCTTATGCAAGATAGAATCTCAGCCAAACATCATCATTCAATGAAATTGAAGATTTGAATAATCTATTTTACAATACAAAATTACCTCATGAATAGTTAGCACTCTCCTCGTCTTCGTACCCTCGCCACGTTCAAACTTGGTGTTCTGCTGAACGTACATGTATGCAATTACATCGAGCGTCTACAGAGGACCCTATATTCAAAACATAACACATGTTCTGTAAAACGAATGGTTTTGAATCCCTGTGAAATACTGCATTGTACCAAAATTGGGGGATCATCTTTTATGTACACGCACTGCGGGTTTTTCAAAAGTTTTAAACACAGCTGATCTTTACAATCACACACTGCACTGCCAAATGACGATCAATGCCAAAAGACACTTACCTTATTTTAAAAGTCAATAGCTTCCTTCATCTGCAAGGGATTAGACACACCCTGAAAATATACAGAAAGAAAATATCAAAACAATATACGCCCATAACATCATGTGAAATGGAAATTATGGTTAAACAATTTGTACCTGACCTTACAAATACTAGAATTTTCTTTTCAAAATCATTCATGCTGGTCCCTTTCAGCTTACATAACTTAGGCAGTGGTGATAACACTAGCATGCTTTTATTGAATAGTTAAATCACGATTTAAAAAAAAAATCCACTTCACTGAATTTTCCAAGATTACAAAGATTTTGACACTGCGTGTTTGCAATTGTAATTTGCCCCATAGGCTTATAGCCTCATATTAAGTATACACTCGACATAGACCACCCCATAATGTGGCTCAAATACAGAACTTCCTTCATAATATTGTGAGCTGCACAGCAGTTATACTGTATAACAGCATCGTCATCCAAGAAAAATAATATGAGGAAATCAAAATCAGGGTTGTTTTTTCCCCTTCATATTCATGTTTTATCACACGATCCTTTTGGCCAATAATTGCTCCCATTAATTCATCTCATCTCATATTTCTAAATCTATCATATTGTATATCGGGATTAATTAAATCAAACAACACAAAAGACAAAACTTACCACCTGTGTGGGAGCTTCCAGAACTGGTTCAAACTACAACCGTCGTACTGCATGCACAGAATACGTTGCATCTGAGTACTCTTGCTGACTTGGCAATATGCATACCAAACTTGACCTCTAGCCTAGGTCATGACCAACTGTTAGTACCTTCTGTGAGACTACATCATACATGTATATTGTTTCATTACCCGATGCAAATTTTGTTACCACGAATGACGATACTAATTCTCGCCATTACATTATTCTATTAGTGTGCCCAGATTATTGTCAGAAAAAAGGCGGTTGTCTTTGTGCCGCGTAATTAACTGGCCCGATTATGCCGCGCCAGCACGCAATCAGATTTAATCCTATTGGTTAAGACCTAACATCACGTGGTCATATTTAAACATCGTGACGTGTACCGTGTTTATTAGGTGTTGAACACAAACAGCTAAATTAATAACTTGAGTTATTATTAGTGTCCTAATTAATTAATAAGCCTTTTTTAACAAGGTGTTATTCTTTGGGAATAAACAAAATGCTAACTAGTGAAATTGAACAGTTAAAACATTTTCTAAAACCGATCTCATAATAAACACCCTATAGCACTGTTGACATTAAACGCTAACTGTTTTGTTTAAAAACACATGATGTGTTTTATTTTGTCACATAGTGTTTAAATCTAAAACACTGCGTTTATTTTATAAACGTGTCACGTGTTCTCGCGTTTTACAGTGTACCGATCCCGCTAGTCCCTACATAACATGAATTACACTTTACAGATCCGGGAGGGAGTATATTTCAGCAGATATATAAAACTATTAAACACTTATTCCACAGCACTTTTCCCCAACAGACTATGAATATATCGTTTTTCCTAATCATTATATTTAAGTCGGATCACAAACAAACCTAAATATCTGCAGGATCTAGGGCACTGGCGTACGGTCCCACCGCTGTGGCTGCAGTGTACCGGGGCACGCCGTATTCCTTCAACGCAGGCGCGGTTCTACGGGTGGGCTAGGGGCTAGGCTGTAGCCCCCCCCCCCCCCATTTTTTTTTTGTCTAGCCCCCCAAAAATAAATTCCGTAAAAAAAAAAATGCATTAGCAAAAAGAAGGATTGTGATGTACATGCGAACAGTCTCCCCCTAAAGAAGAAATAGCCGTGACAAGGGTGCATCAGGTATCACAAGTCCTAAGTTCCCCCCAACATTATTCTTAATTAATGAAATAGAAATGCACGATTTCAACAATATCCCAAATGCAAATGACAGAGGACACTCTTCTGCCCATCTTGTGAGAATATGATAGAAATCCAATCACGCATACCAACACGAAGCTCATTAGAATGAAAAAAGTGGCAATAAAAAAGTTGCAGTAAATAGCGTTGCTCCAATGTACTGGTTTGATCATGCTTTAAAAGGTAGAATGTTAATCCCTTTTGTATCTAATCTAAAAGTAATAGGATTACACAGCATTTTCTTTGTCATCTTTGCATTAAAAGGTCTGCAATGATCTGTTAGATTACCAAGATTGCGTCTTGTTTTAGTTAAACATCCTTTTAAACAAGGAAACTTTTGTAAGGTGAAGTTATTAATTAATGAAAGTCTACCCTGCCTTGCAGGATCACTCAAACCAGTACATTGGAGCGATGCTGTTTACTGCAACTTTTTTTATTGGCACTTTTTTCATTCAAATGAGCTTCGTGTTGGTATGCGTGATTGGATTTCTATCATTTTCTCACAAGATGGGCAGAAGAGTGTCCTCTGTCATTTGCATTTGGGATATTGTTGAAATCGTGCATTTCTATTTCATTAATTAAGAATAATTTTTGGGGGAACTTAGGACTTGTGATACATGTATAGTGTGAATGAGTTTAGGATTTTATTGGCGCTCCCCATTGAAAATATGGCATGATCCCCCCCCCCCCCCCCCCCACTTATTGATTTTCTGAGGCCTAAGTGTCAGGAAAAAAATAACCGGTCCACATTTCAGCACGCCTCCCTGAAAAAATTCTGGATCCACCGTGCTAGCCCCCCCCCCCCCCCCCCAATATTTGTTCTAGAAACGCGCCTGATTCCTTGGTATTCCCAGACATCACATGGGCATCATATGACAGGCACGTAGACACGTGACCCAAAACAAAAAAAAATGCGACGCCTAAAAAAAAATGCGCCGCCCAAAAAAAAAAATGCGCCGCCCAAAAAAAATGCGCCGCCCAAAAAAAATGCGACCAAAAAAAAAAAAATGCGACCAAAAAAAAAAAAATGCGACCAAAAAAAAGAAAATGCGACCAAAAAAAAAAAGCGACCAAAAAAAAAACATGCGACCAAGAAAAAAACATGCGAGGCCGTTGGCACATATGGAACACAATAGTATCTTGTAATCATTCCCAGTTATACTTTTTACTAGAGTAAAAAGATGAATAATTTCCTTAGCCAAAAAAGACGTCTCCGGTTTCTGGTATGGAGCTTGCCCCAATACAAAAGTGGTGCGGTGACGCGGTTTTTTTCCCCTCTTATTTTATTTCTTCAAATGTCGGCTGATGTTACAGGTGACGCTTCGATCCCCTTAAAACTCTCAAATATATCCTTCAGAGTGGAGCTTGAGGTGACCTCTGTCAGGTAATAAGGCTTGAGAATTTTGCACCCACTTATACGATGATCTCGACCGACACGAACAGCCTTCGGGAAATTTGGATCGGACAAAAATCAGAGAAAATGGTAGTAACGTTAGACCATACACATGGGCGTCGCGAGGGGGGCAAGGGGGGGCACTTGCCCCCCCCCCCCCTGGAAAAGCAAAAAAAAAAAAAAAAAAAAAAAGGAAGAAAAAAAAGGGAAAAAAGAAAAGAAAAAGAGGCGCGAAGACAAAGTGGTGTAAATTTAATGAGTTGGGGGGGGGGCAAAATGTCCCCGCCCCCCTCTAAAACTGATAAATCGAGAATGTGTTGAGAAATACAAGCATTTTTTTTGCAAAAAAAATGTTTGCCCCCCTCTAGAAAAAATCCTGGCGACGCCCATGACATGGGCGTCGCGAGGGGGGGGGGGGGCAAGGGGGGCACTTGCCCCCCCCCCCCCCGGAAAAGCAAAAAAAAAAAAAAAAAAAAAAAAAGGAAGAAAAAAAAGGGAAAAAAGAAAAGAAAAAGAGGCGCGAAGACAAAGTGGTGTAAATTTAATGAGTTGGGGGGGGCAAAATGTCCCCGCCCCCCTCTAAAACTGATAAATCGAGAATGTGTTGAGAAATACAAGCATTTTTTGGCAAAAAAAATGTTGCCCCCCTCTAGAAAAAATCCTGGCGACGCCCATGAGCTTGAGAGTTCTTTTCAAGAACCGTTGAATCTGTCGAACACAACTGTTTCCCGTTCCAGCGTCGCCCCGAAGTAGTCCAGGACAACCTACTTGTCGCTCACATTTTCCATGAAATACCCCGCAATAACGCCAGGGTCACTATTCGTCGTAGAGGCTTCAAGCCAGATACCTGTCTTGAATACCCGTCGATACATCCGTTAATACAAACCCCGTGATGCTTTAGCTTGTCAAGAGTCCAGGTGCCACACAAGGTTTGGGCCTCTTCCATGGGCGTAGCGAGGGGGGGCAAGGGGGGGCACTTGCCCCCCCCCCCCCCCCCCGGAAAAGCAAAAAAAAAAAAAAAAAAAAAGGAAGAAAAAGAAAAGAAAAGAAAAGAAAAAGAGGCGCGAAGACAAAGTGGTGTAAATTTAATGAGATGGGGGGGGGGGGTGGGGCAAAATGTCCCTGCCCCCCCTCTAAAACTGATAAATCGAGAATGTGTTGAGAAATACAAGCATTTTTTGGCAAAATTTTATTTTGCCCCCCTCTAGAAAAAATCCTGGCGACGCCCATGACCATACATGCAACATTGACATCGTGCATGAGCTGCCAGACTGCTCCATTACATATTGCGCTAATTGAACTGAAGAAGCCATTCTTTTCTTAGACTTCAGAAAAGCGTTCGATACAATTGAGGTTAACTACATTAAGAAAGCGTTGGAGTTTTTCAACTTTGGTCCGTCTCTATAAAGTGGACAGATGTGTTGTACAGTAACATAGAGAGTTGTGTCACACAAAATGGCTGGTTGTCAAACTCATGATTTCAATGTTACTAGAGGCATCAGACAAGGCTGTCCTCTATCAGCATTATTAATTATAATTGCTGCAGAAATTTTGGCTCTGAAGATTAAAGCTAACGAAAACATCAAGGTATCAAGATAGATCAAGATGGAAACCTAACGGAAATTAAAACCGCCCAATACGCCGATGACACGACCATCTTTTTTAAAGACAAAAACTCCATCATGGGTGTACTAAATGAAGTTGGTATTTTTGAAAAAGTGGCGGGTTTAGAGATTAACCTCAATAAAACAGAAGGTCTATGGCTAGGCAAAGGTAATAATAATTGTGATCTTGCCAGTGTCATATGAAAATCGGACTCGTATGAAAATCTGACTCTTTTTTCCCTTTTATTGGTTAAACCCTCTCACGTGACCGGTCCCTCTCCTAATTATCTATGCATGAGCATGCGCAATACCACCAATGAGTCCGTATTTCATAAAACCTAAATTCATGCTACACCGGTATAAAATGGCCAGTGGACCCTTTTAAGTGATTAGGTGTGTATTTCGGCAGAAGCCAAGAGAAGTTGAGAGAGCAGAATTGGAACAGTAAGGTTACCAAGTTAAAAAGAATTTTGAATGCTTGGAGAACTAGACACCTAAGTTTGGTCGAATTACAATCGTTAAAACACTCGGCGTTTCTCAGATTATGTATAATGCTAGTGTGTTGCATGTACCAGACTCAGTCATCAAAGCTGTAGAACGAATGCTCTATCATTTTGTTTGGAATTCAAAATGTGATAAGGTGAAACGAGACACAATGACGTATGATTGATATTCAGTCTCAAATTAAAGCACTGAAGGATCCTGGGAATGTCTAGCTAAGAAAGTTCTTTCTCCGTATGGAGGAGTTCCGTTAATATTTCAATTTAGCTGTCTTACTGCTGATATTGTTAAAATGTTGGATATATCAAGTTGTTATGTACCTAGGTTCTACACAGATTTGTTATGGTTCTGGTTCGAAATCAAAGATCAAAATATCGGTGTCTTTGGTTTGCAATAATACGTGGGCCTAGTAATGGTAATCCGATTACATGTATCCTCAAACGCTGGATTGAATCAGATATTGTGTTTGTGGGCGACCTTTGTCCTAATGGTTTTGTTCCTTGCAAAGACATTTGGAATCAGCTCATCTGTAAAAGAAA